TATGTTTACTTAGAAGAAGAACCTATTTTCCTAAGCCAACAATGTTAAATACTTCGTATAGAAAATGTTTTACTTATATAAACAATTAGAATAATGGTTCAATTTACACACACATTTCCATGCTAACCAACGTCATTTTTTTATTTCTTCTTGCCCTCTACATATATAAAATTAAATGTTGCTGTTGTTGATCTTTCTTCTATTTTCATTGTTGTTTGACAACCATTTACAAAAAGTTTTACCTGGTATCAAACGTACATGGAATGTTTTCCTCGGAAGTAATTAAAATATTTTTTCCCAAATGCTGACCTCCAGGAGAGTGACACGTTGTACCTTCTCCAGATAAAGATTTTTTTCCTCCTTATACGAAATGAAAAGATTATATTTAATAAAATATTAGGTCTTCTTGTAGGAAAGTTTGTGCTAGACGCTTTTTTCTTGTTAGAATCTATTTTAATATTTATATGTTTACCATTCGACAGTACTTCGTATATTGTTGACACATATGTTCTAGTGCTCCTGTTATATATTCAAATATCCTTGATAAAATCCAAAGAATAATCTACAATGTTATCTACTCTGACCTGAGATCTCGTTTTTAGTCACATTCCCATCATGTATAATGTATCTTCCCCGTGCCTATTCTATAAATAATTTCATTGAAATTGTTCTATAGTATCTAAACTGTTATGAATAATCAAAAGTGGTCTCTAATTGTTTTATTACTCTCCTCTTTAAAAGAGCTATTTATGTTTACTGGGACTACAAAAGGACACAAACGCGAACCTTGTATTCTCAGTTGAATAAAGCTTCCTTAAAGCCTACACCTGCTTACTTTTGTCATTACATTACAGTTGAAATGGCTAAATGTAACCGCCAGTTCTTTGCTAACAGTTTCTTTCCTCACACTGCTCACTTGTGGAATTCTCACACGGCTTCTTTGCTTCTAGTCAAAATTGATCTTCAAAAATTTAAATGTAAAGTCAATCTGTGTCAACTGTCTTCTTGATTCCTCTTCTATTATTCTTTTCGTTCCTTAATAATCTTTTTTTCTGTTTCTTATGCCCAATAAACATTTGCGTCTTAGTGGCTTTAAACCTTGCTTTTGTAATTCAGAGAAATATGGCTTTTCTGGATTACTATTATTATTAGATATAGCTTTAAAAGCATTCAGATTTATGCAATTTGAATATTCTGTTTAATCATAATTCGTAAGTTAAGAATTCAGTGAGCTACTTTCAAGATCAACAAGAGACAGCTCGCGTCACTTGACCTATTGAATTGCTAAATGTATGGACTTAACAACTTTAACAAAATATGATAGTAACAAAATGATTTTTTACAGAGCACATACATATTTTTTATACTAAGACAAGTGTCAATCAATACGTAAATAATCCAGTTGTAATCCGACGAAACTATTTATGGAATATGACTCGAGTTTTAAAGTTAATGTTTTGGTTTTGCAGCAACTTGTGGTGTTAGGTGAAACTATCCCTTATCAGCCTACTCTCGAGTGCCAAATAAATGTTTCTTCCCCCAGGTGTTACCTTTGAAAATTTCTCAACCCTTTCCAGAAGATTATTAGGATCCCGTCATCGTTTACTATTTTGATGAATGTTTACTTATACTAGTAGTACTGGTAAAAAAAAGTCACGGTTTTTCCTGTTTGTATTTTCTAATGCATCATAATTCATAAGTCAATGACTGAATAAATTCAATGCGAATAAGAGAAAAGGTGTGGAATAGATATGAAATTCCAGGGGCATTTTACAGTATGACCGTTTTCTACGTGTATGCATGATTATATGTATGTGTGTGTCTGCTTTATTTTATCCCCAGAGGGATAGAAGATGGCCAGTGGGAAGAAAAACTGCTCAATTCTTCATACGTACATGAGTAAATAAAAAGACTGAGATAGATAGATAGATAGATAGATAGATAGATAGATAGATAGATAGATAGATAGATATGAAAAGATTGACGATTGTGCCTAGCATGAAACAGCCTGTCGCCTGTCAGTGTTGACTTCAATGTTCACTTTTACATATATATATATATATATATATATATATATATATATATATATAGATAGATAGATAGATAGATAGATAGATAGATAGAGAGAGAGAGATAGAGAGAGAGAGAGAGAGAGAGAGAAAAATACATGAGGAAGATGAATAAATAGATATGTACATACTGGAGCAGATATATAGATAGATGTATATGAGCAGTGAGATATATATATATATATATATATATATATATATATATATATATATAGAGAGAGAGAGAGAGAGATAGATACATACATACATACATACATACATAAATACTGAAGGAGATGAATAAATAGATATGTACGGCCTGGATCAGATATATAGATAGTTGTATATGAGCAGACTGAGGCAGATAGATAGATAGATAGATAGATAGATAGATAGATAGATAGATAGATAGATTGATAGATACCATAAAGTTTTCTTGATAAGCAATTATCATGGCAATATGTGAATAGGAGTTCGACGTTTCAAGTTTTTATCGTTTACAGAAAAAATCTTATGGCCTGATATTCCCTCCCCTTCTTTTAAAATTATGTAACCGATGAATAACTTTTTAAACCTATAAAGAGATACACGGACCACAGCCAGCAAATGACAACGCTAAACCTTTCACTAAATCTTCGTTCGCTCGGCGTATCTTGTTCCATGCGTATTTTGGTGTTTTTGGTTTGTTTTTTTTTTCTTTTTTTGTTTTTTTTTGTGCTTCAAAAAATTAAATCAGATGTCAAAAGAACACTTTTTTTCGGGCTTATGATTCACTGGATTTCCAGAAGGAAAAGAAATTTTCATAAAGTTTCACATCGAAAGCAAAACAAAAGCACATAGACAATTTCGCAAGCGAACATTTAATAAAAAAAAATCTGACAATAACGCTCGCGTGAACAAAAGGAAGGGAAAAATTAGACGGGAGGTTACTGCAATGATTTAACAGGAACATTGAAAATGAGCCCGTAATCGATCCTCTGTCAGGTTAAGGTCATGAAATAGTCTATAAAAATTGACGATGACAGGTGATTAGTTTCAAATGTGATAGAACTCCTGTTAAACTGTTGTGTTATGTTTTGTTGGCCGCCATTTTAAACAGACTCGTTTTCAAAGCAAACCAAAAGGACAGGAGATGGCGATTCTCTTCCACATTTGGTCGCAATCTGAATTTTATATTTAACTAGTACTACTGTACTGATGTGGCATTCACCCTGGGCGGATTGAGCCGGCTTCTTCCTGTTATGAGAAGAAGATTCTTGGGATAAATTACAGAAGTAGGGTACCCAGGCCTACTCGGAAAACGTTCTTGCTTGCCGCGGGGTTCCCACAGACGCAGAGACAGGAACGACCAGAAGCCGCCGGTTACCGATGCAAACGCTCCATGGATTTTCACCAGAGCCATTGTTAGCCGGCGTGTGTGTCAGACCTGTCTGCCTTGGGTGGCCCTACCAGGAACGAAGTTCCGGGCGGCATAGCTCTGACACTACCGTTTACACCCCGACTTTGAGGTAAGGGTTGGACTTTGGGGGCTTACAGTACAAGGTGTTCCCAAGCGGTCCCCCATATAAGTACTGACCTGGCTCTACGCTGCTTAACTTCGGTGATCGTACGAGAACCGGTGTTTCAGCGTGATTTGACCGTAAGCCTTTAACTAGTAGTTAGAACATTAATGCATTGGTTACTTAAACACTAAAACGGAATCAGAATCTATCTATATCTCCCATTCGTCCATACTTAGAATATTGTTGCCACATTCGGTCGGGTGCTAGGGAATCTTGATAAAATCGAAGGGAGAATCAGCAATATTATCGGTACTGACCTGGCGTCTCAGTTTCAGTCCATCTCCCACCAGTGTAAAGTTTACTTTACGGCGGGGTTTTCATTATTTTATCCATAGTGGATTTATCAATTATATATGTTTTTTTTTAAAAAGGGTAAAATATCAGGCCATAAGACATATTTTTTGAAATAATATTTGTTCTATGAAGAATTGAGCAGTTTTTGCTCCCACTGTCATCTTCTATCTGCCGGTGGATAAAATAAAGCAGACACCGCAGTAAAGTTTCATGGTAATTGTTCTGATGAACCCTTCGTTATGGTATCTGCAATGTTATTGATCCTGACCTGGCATCTCGGCATCAGTCATTTTCCGACCGCCGTAATCTAGCTTCTCTCTGCCGTTTCTATAAATACTCTTATGAACTTTACTGTATGGATCTTAGACTTTATGAATGTAAGCAACATACGAGATGACCAAGAAGGTCTCGTCAATTTACAGTTGTATTTGGTAAATTTAACCGTAAGTTCTATTCTAAGAATGTTTTTCCCTCGCAATTTTCACTTTTGGAACTGTCTTCCGGCTCCATGCTTTCTGGACAACTTTGATGTTCAAAAAGTTAAATGCAGTGTCAACAGCCATCTGCTGTCTTCCTGATTACACTTCTGTTGTTCCCCTCTTTCATGATCTTTCCTGTTTTCTAATTCTTCCACACCAATGAAACCCTTTTGTCTTAGTGACTTCACTACCTTGCTTCTGGCGAAATTGAGTAAAAAAAAATACACATCTATTTTTCATATTATTGTTTACACAATACAAAGCTCAAGACACCCCAAACTATAATGTAACTGAAATAGATTGTTGTAAAAGAATAAAGAGTGAAAATGAATGCGCATATTATGGGGATGTGTAGGATAGGTAACGGTTGACTCTTGATCTGAGAAGCATCCCCTCGTAACAATTCTGGGGAAGAATCTGTGCGAGTGGATATTCTTCCTTACTAATGGAATACAAACAAGATGAGGATAAGTCGACCTTGTGTGTATGGCATGACGTATCCTAGCTGTGAATGTCTGAATTGATAGAGTAAGGATACGTAGTTCGTTTACCATGGAGAATCCTAAGGGAAACAATTGTTGACTTGGAAATATTTTATCGTCTAAAAGGCTGCATAA